AGGACTCCAACTCTTCCCCTCCCACACTCAACAGCAGATGCTGTCAGAGCAGCCTCTGGAAAGAGGCAGTGATGGAACCATTTGGTAAAGGAATGACACCATCCCTCCCCCAGAAGAAGCCTGCCCTGCATACGCACCCCAGGCCTGCCACTCATTAGCTGAGAGACCTCACGATCTCTCTGGACCTCAGTCTCTTCATCTGTGAAACGGACATATTGTCTACCAGGCAATGACCTTATGAGGACCAGGTTGAGAATGTGTGCAAAAGCCAACACGGAGCCTGGGGCTGCGTACACTGCTCCTCCCAAACCTTCCTGACCAGCAGGAAGGCAACCAAGTGCCACCTCTCTCCAGCCAGAAGACTTCTCTGTCTCCCTCAGTCCCTGCTGCCTGTAAAAGCATGTGTGTCATGGTTCTCCTAGGGATGTAGTCTTCGCGTGTCCATGTGAATGTCAACAGGTATGAGCTTCACCACAGGAAGGACCTCCTATTGGCCGCCCGTCCTCACCCACAACAGCCACTGCAGTTTCCAAAGAATCAGACAGAGTGGAAGTGCCTCAGCTCAGCACCAAGAGAAAGCAGCCATTCTTCTCACCTGCCCAGGCAGCCTGCCGAGGAAAGCTCCACGCTAGAGGAAACCAAGTCACGGCATGAGGCAGCAGCTCTCAAATGCTGGTGCTCCCTAAAAGTCACAGGGAGTGGCTATTTAAACTATGGTTCTTGACCTCACCCTGCAGAGATTCTGAGGTAGAGCAATGTCTGCAAAACGACGGCACAGGGAGCAATGCGGTGGGGGCTCAGTTTCAGGGGACAGAGAGAAAAACCTCACCTGACAGTTACTAAAATCAGCAGGGCCCCGTGGCGACGCCCCTCCTCCCATACTCTCCTGCAGTGCCAGCACCTGTGCATTGCTCACAGCTTTAACACAACACCAGTAGTGACAGAAATTTGTCAACGATGAGGTGGACAGAGGTCCCGAGATCAAAGCAATCCCCTGGACTCTCTCCTGTGACAAGCACACTTTGAAGAAGCCAGAATCCTAGCCCTTGGAGCGCTCTGAAGATCCTTACACATGAGCACAAAGGCACCCCAAGTTAATTTCTCTGGCTGGACCTTCACATCCTATGGGACTGACAAACCCACAAGCTGCCGCCAAAATCGGCACATACTCAAGAGCTAGAAGTGTTTTCCCCAGGAAGTGTGGGATGTGAGCTGAGCGGAAAGTCCTTAGCCAAGCCCCCGCACAGGCACGCTGCTCTTGTCTCTCCCAACTGTCAAGGACTCTTGCGGCTGAGGACAGCTCTTAGCACCACGGCCTGCCTCGGAAGCGCACCTCACAATCGCTCCATGGCTCCCATGTGGGACGTGTTTGGCGGCAGTTTGTCTCAGAGCAGCCATGGTTCAAGAGCATTAGACCTAGCACAATCGGAAGAGGAATGAAATCCTGACACATGCTATGTATGGATGAACCTTGAAGACACTATGCCAAGTGAAATAAGCCAGTCACAAAAGGACAAACACTGTGAGACCACACTTACATGAAGTACCTAGAGTACTCGAATTCATAGACAGAAGCAGACTGGTGGCCGCCAGGGCCTGGGGGAGGGAATAGGGAGATGTTGTTTAATGGCCACAGAGTTCCAGTTTCACAAGATAAAGTGAGTCCTGGTGATGGAGGGTGGCGATGGTTATACTTACGTGAATGTGCTGGAAAATGGTGAGGAGGGTATTAATAAATGGTATGTTGTGTGTATTTTACCACAATTAACAACAAGAACATAACATCAGATCATCCTTCTGCCTTAGAGGGCCGGCCTGTCACAGGACCCTCATGGCCAGGAACGTCCCCCCAGCTCGGGGTGCTCCCGCCTCCTGATCTGGTGCATCTCCCAGGAGCTTCCAGTGACGTCTGGGCTCTGGTGACACCAGCGCCTTAGCTTTGCATCAGTCCCTAAAAGCTCAAAGAAAAGTGGCAGAATTTGGTCAAATCATGGGCAGCATTTCACAGTGGGACAAACAAAGGCAGAGGAGAGAGGCAGCAGTTCGAGTTTCCAGATCCCCCAATCCGTCCACTCCTGGAAATTCAGGGGCCCAGACAAACTCCTCAGGCTCCTATTTGTCTTTGAGGCTGCCCTGAGCCCACCTCACCTCAGACTGCCTTTGGGAAATTTCTTTTCCTTTTTTGGGAAAGTTGCCTCTCCTCCACACCCACCAGTTACAGGGTACGTGGGTGTATCGGGAAAGAAATTTCCCAAAAAAGGAAAACAGATTCCCCAAAGTTAGTCCCATCTCAGAGCTGCCCAGAGAGGCAACAGTCAGCCCCTCTGGGACGCGGCCTGCCGCCCTAGCCCCAGCAGAAGTCCCCAAGCAGAAGGGCTTCCCGCAGCAGCCGTGGCTGGATCCAAGGACTGATCCCCCACCCCCCACCCCCGAGCACTGTAACCTCCTGACACCCACCTTCCTCTCCAGCCCTGGCCCAGCAGGGCTGAGATAACACCTCTCTATTCTTCAGAGCTCTCAGGAGGTTTTTCTCCTTCTGCTGAGTGACACCCACCACCAGCACCACACCAGACAGCAAGCCAACCCTGCCCCATCACCCCCTCACTCCCCGGAAATCTGACTGGTGAGTCCTTTTGTGCTGTTTAAGAACAGAGCTAATAGCAAATCAAATTTACATCTTAATTTTTAAAAATAAATAAAAATGTAAATAAACAACTGACCAAATCACCCAGGGATTCTCAGCCTTGGCACTGTTGACATTTTGGGCTGGATCCTTCTTTGGGGGAGGGGGTGCTGTTCACTGCATAGTAGGATATTTAGCAGCATCCCTGGCCTCTACCCACTGGATGCCAGTAACATCCCTGCCCCAGTTGTGACAATCAAAGATGACTCCAGACGTTGTCATGAGGCCTGGGAGGCACAACGTCCCAGGCTGAGGACCACAGGTCTACTTCCAGGTACTCACAGAAAAAGCACCACTGGAGTTCAGCCCACATGTGAGCCTCCCTGGAAGGAAGTTCTCCTGCTCCAGGTCTCAGCACCCTGCTGGCCTGGTTGGGGTGGGGTCTTAGCCATGCGGAGGCCAACCACTGAGTTGGAGCCTCTGGGCTGTCTGTTCATCCTGGGGTGCAGCCACGAAGAACCAACCTGATGCAGATCACCAGCCATGGGACAGGCTCCTCCAGCCCTATCTCCTCCTACCTGGCCTCTACCCCAACTGCCTCCTTGCAACTTTCCACCGTGTGACCTTCCTGATACAAGGGCACACCTCACAAGTCTGCAGGGATGCTTCAGGGGTATTTCAGCACAACTGCCACTACACCTGCTCCTTGCAGGCACAGTGCCACTTCCCAGAGTGCAACGCACGTGCACAGCCCTGCTCTGGGTGGAACAGCACTGACTGGTGCAACCGGTCAGTCTCTGCAGCTCCAAGGTCATCTGCCAGAAGCCCATGGCCAAACACTGCCGGCTCCAGGCATGCCCCATGCCCTTTCTTCAGTCCAAGTTTGTCCTGGGGCTTCTTTCTTTTCCCACTTTCCTGGCATGGTCCCTTCTCTGCCCTAGCACATGAAATATCACCCAGCCAACATCCAGGGTGCTGGGAGACCAAAATGCACCGCAAGGTGTCAGCACTTGTGGCTTGCCAACCTCAATTATTTAGGAGCCATTCTTGGGATGCAGCACGTGCTCTGCATTTGTGCCAACACAAAGGCGTCCCCAGTAGCCACCCTCTTTGTGCCTGTATAACTGAGCCAAAGAGAACAATGGGTTTTGCTGGATTTCAGTTATACCTAAAGAAAGATTTCCTGACTGGAGTAATCAGTCATCAAGGAAAGTCCAGGGAGCTCTGCTTTTCAGCATGGTTCATGGACCCCATCTAGCCTGAATGTAATCCAGTGACCTCGTGAGGTTACTTGGATACTGTTAGTTGGCCACAGGACTTAAGATCCACTCAGCCAGCCACAGGGAGCTCAAGGTAAACCTTGGGGCTTGTAGGAGTTCAGCTCCCACTCCAGGACTACGGCCACATGATGGCCAAGGCAGGAAAACACAAAGGGCAGTGTGGGGCCCATCCTCCAGGTCTGCTTCCTTGCCCCAAAGGAAAAGCCAAGAGTACCATCTCCCTGCTCCTACCACTAGCAAAGTCTGAGGCCCATCAGCACTCGCCTCCAACTACTCTGCACCACACACGTTCCCACCGCAAAACCCTTTGCAATCCATTCACAATGTACAAATATGTTCGTAAGAGAGAATGAGAGGGAAGAACATTCTTTTTAAGAAGGAACCAATGAGGTGACAGCCGCAATGGAACTAAGGTATCATACCTATTAATTCATCCCAGAAACAAAATACAGTAAAGAGTCACATCACAACGGTTAGGATTCACATGGGCAGACCCACTTCCAGCCTTCACACATGTGAGCTGTAATGACCGTCCCAAAACCCCAGGGCCCCGCCTGTCTGGAAGGCCCTGGTAGAACAGAGTCATCTCCACTCACACTTCCAGACACCCTGTCTCACCACCGCAGCGAAGAGACAAACTCTGGGAAGGACAAGTGAGGTCAACCTACCTTACGTGGTTGTGACTAGATTTTCAAGGACAGTCTCAATTTTAAAATGCTGCCTACACATGCGCTCAATGCCCACCCGCCCACCCAGCACCTGCAGGTCCAGTCTATGCAAGCCCCATGACCCAGAACTTCGCGCTCCCTTTCCCCTAACTAGGAGTGCTCTGGCCAAGTCCAAACTCCTACGAGCCTTGAATAGAAGCAACTTCCTCCTCATCCACGACCACTGAAGAAGATGCTTCAAACCAAAGGTCTGGGTTTTAGGGCCATCTCCACCAGCTGCCACAGTTCTTCAAAGCATTCCAGACTCCCAGAGAGAAGCCCAAGCAGGAGCACACAGTTGCCGCACTCATACGCGACGACACAAACAACACAGCAATGAAGGGGGTGGATGGAGGATGCGGACAGGGAATGGGTGAGGAGGACACTCACCATCTCATCCAAGGCGTAGCGCAAGAGGCCGTGCTCGTAAAGAATGAAGAACCGCCGCTGCCATTTCTGCGACAGAGCACACACGGGGTGGGTGGTTAGGTGGGCCCAGGTCCCGGCCCCAGATCTCAGCCTGCTGAGTCCCCATGTCTAACAAACCCAAGTCTAAGGAACACCAGCTCCACAGACTCCATTTCTGGGGAAGATAGCAGGAAAAGACAGACCCAAGGCATAAGAATGGTGATTCATTAGCCAGGACTGGGCCAGGAGAGAGGCCCCAATCATATGAGTGATTTGTATTTCCACATGAGTTACTGAGGTTTAACCAGAAACCTGTTTTTTAAAATTTGGAAGCTCCCCAGGAGCAGAAACAATGTATTCCTACAGCACCCAGCACAGAGCATATCACGTTATGTGTCAATATTTATCTGATGAATGATGTGATAGGACATGGAATAACCAGGAGTCCCAAGGCACTGATTCACCACTCCTGAAAACATCTGGGAAACTGCTATAAAAGGGATTGTTCTGATGACCCATTGTGGGAGAGGGGGCAAAAGACAGCCGGGCTCCAGAATTCACTAAGGTGAAATGAGCTAACAAAAATCAAAACAGAGGAGGAGCAAGACCAGTGGAAATAACTCTAATATCCAGGGAGTGACAAGCCCGCAAAGAGCATCACCCTGCCTCTCCACTCTCCACCCATGGGCCAGGCCACTGGGGCGTGCTCATGGCAGTCAAATGCCACCAAGAGCTGAAATGAAAAGAATTATCAGGATATGTATCTTCCTTTTTGTGAGGAGAAGGGCCTGGTCTCTCACACAAGACTGCTGGTCTATATCATGGTTGACCCGCGCAGCTCCCAAAGCCCAAAGATCACCCTGCGGGTCCATGACCTATTTTCAACATTTCAGAAGGCCCAACAATGTTCAGATTTTTACTGGTAGTAAGGCCACAAGAACTAACTATAAAGTCATGTCTCTTTGCTTTGGGCCAGAATTATATCATTGAAAATGATGACTTTATCAACCAAAGCTGGAAATGGCAGTTGTGTACAACCTTAATATTAACATAAAACAGGAAAATGAACTACTCCATGGAAACTGCAGTCTGGCTGGAGCAGTCACTCCCAAGTCTCCCCTCCTGGGTGGCATGAACAGGGAATCCGGTGGCCTTGCAAAGAGGGCTGGGTGTCTAGGGGAAGGCCACTTGGACGTGTTTCCCAGGAACATTTCCAAGGCTCTTATGTGCTATATGTTGTCTTTGAAATCAAAACCCATTCCAGAAGGAATCCCAAAGACCAGAGACACAATGAAAGGTCTGTGGGACCTGAACATGCAGCCCTGAGTTCCCATCCAGAGTATAAAATTCAGGGTGAGGAGGGGGTGAGCAATAGGAACTCAGACAAAGGGGATGGGGAGTGCCCAGGGGTGCAGGGGACAGAAGGAGCAGAGCTGGAGCATCACAGGGTATAAGCAGCCGCACCCACAAGAGGGCTCTCGAGGAAGCAGACTGTTTTAACTGGAGTCAAATCCAAAGGGGTTTCCTGGCAGAGGAACAAACTCCAGGTCAGGACGACCTGGATTGACCATCTCTAGCAGCCGCATCCCAGGCAAGGCAAAGTTGAGGGAAGGGTGAGCCGAGGCCTCCAGGCCTGCAGTCCACCAGATCTCGGGGGAGGAAGGGGCAGGGCAGCGCTGGGAGGGGAGGAAGGTGTGGCGACAGCGTGCTCTTTTGCTGCTTCCACTTAACTGTTCCTACAAAACAGAGACACCCACGTGAGAGCATCTCGTTTTGAAGGAAGGAATATGCATAACTATGTATATTGAGACTTCTTCCATGGGACCTACAAGATTGTCACCTGGAGGGTCCCCCGACCCTGCCATCCCAGGATCCCTATTCGACTCCCCACCTCCCAGCTCTGCTCCACCAACACACCCTCAGGTGGGCCTCCTCCTTCACTTCCTCCCGCAAGAATTCACTGATGCCCTTACCCGAGACCGGTGCACCGGGTTGTCAAAGTCAGTCCCATCTGGAGCCAGGAGCAGCCAGCCACCATAAATGGGTTTTGCCTAGAGGAGAAAAAAGAGGGCAGGTCATCAGCTGCCTCGGACCACAGAGAGAAAACAGGTCAGGTTAATGGCAAGCACTCGCTAGGAACAGAGGTCACCTCTGCTCTGCAGACACTGTGCACCCACCCATTCCCCACTTCCTGTGAGGCTGGTGGGATCCTGGTGTGAAGAGGGGAAGGCAGGTCCCGGCAGGAATCTGAGAACTTGTAGAATACAGGAACCCCTAAAACACATGCTGCCACCCTTAAGTTCCTGATCAAGCCACCAAGATCAGGAAAAAAATGGCATTTTATTCAACAAATATGTGAGCGTCAACGTGTTCCAGGCACCAGGAATATAACGTGAACACCACAGTCAAAAGCTCTCATCTTGCAAATACGAAACAGGGTCTGGGAGAAGAAGCTGCTTTAGTGATCAAAGCCAGCTCTGGCCAAAGAATCATCGGCTGGCCAGCTGTGTGGCCATGGGCAAGAAACCCTCTGAGTTTCGAGTCTCCCATTTGAAAAGTGGGGGTGATAACAATTCCATCTATACCTCGTAAAGTTTATGTGCACATCGATGAGATAATGCGGGTGAAGCCCAGCACAGGAATGTAAAACAGTGATGCCACTTTGGAAAACAGTCTGGCAGTTCCTAAAACAGTTCGATGTAGAGTCACCATAAGACCCAGCTATCCTGCTCCTAGTAGACACAGCCAAGAAAACTGAAAACAGGTGCCCAAATAAAAACTTGCACATGAGCATTCATAGCAGTAGTGTTCATAATCAATGAGTTCATGATCGCCAAAAGGTGGTAACAGCCTAAATATCCATCAACACATGGCTGGATGAACAAAGTCTGATCTATCCACAGAATGGAACATTATTCAGCCATAAAAAGGAATGAAGTCCTTGGCTACAATATGGATGAACCTCAAAAACATTATTCTAACTGGCAGAAGCCAGACACAAAAGCCCACATATTATAGAACTCCACTTATATAATAAAATATCTAGAATAGGCAAATCCGTAGAACAGAAAGCACATGAGTGGTTGCCAGGGACTAAGGGGAGGGGGGATGGGGAGTTACAGCTAATAGGCACAGGGTTTGTTTTTGGGGTAATGAAAATGTTCTGGAATTAGATGATGGAGAAGGTTGCACAACATCATAAATATGCTAAAAATCACTGAATTGCACACTTTAAGAGGGTGACTGTAACAGTATGTGAATTATATCTCAATTAAGAACACTGATCACAGCATCTGGCCTCTAAGTTCTCAACAGATGTCCGGCATTGTTAGACTTACCATCCAGAGCCCCCGCTCCCAAAACACTGGGTAGGAGCTCAATGTGGCAGCAAGACTGAGACAGACACTCTGGCTGCATTTCCCGTCTGGTGAGGAGAGGTCGGGAAAGGTACGACCAGGCCTATCTATCCACTACCCTTCAGAGGACAGTCACACACATTAAAACCAAACCTCTAGGCCGGGCGCGGTGGCTCACACCTGTAATCCCAGCACTCTGGGAGGCCGAGGCGGGTGGATCTCTCAAGGTCAGGAGTTCGAGACCAGCCTGAGCAAAAGCGAGACCCCCGTCTCTACTAAAAATAGAAAGAAATTATTTGGACAACTAAAAATCTATATAGAAAAAATTAGCCGGGCATGGTGGCGCATGCCTGTAGTCCCAGCTACTTGGGAGGCTGAGGCAGTAGGATCGCTTAAGCCCAGGAGTTTGAGGTTGCTGTGAGCTAGGCTGACGCCACAGCACTCTACTCTGGGCAACAGAGTGGGACTCTGTCTCGAAAAAAAAAAAAACCAAACCTCTGACTTCTGCTTACATATAGACTGATCTCTGCTTAAGCCTCAGGGATTACTACATGCTTTTTATTGAACACTCTCCAAACTGGGAGGCCCTGTCACTCTACCTCATTTGGTAGCTGTGGACTCTGTGATTCAGAGAGGGCAGGTCACTTGCCAGGGGCCACACAGCCTCCAGGCTAAACCAAGAACCCTCTCTTTTCTCAGCTTCTTTCTGCAGGGTCCTCAAGGCCCCTGGAAAGCAGTGGCTTTCCTTGTGACCAGAGCAGGTAAGAGGTGCCATGTGCCCAGGGGATAGGCTGTGGGAAGGACAAGACAGACTCACTTTGATGAAATGGGAGTGGGTATTGGCCCCAAGTTAGAGGGACATGGCCCAGGAGGGCCAAGGGGTGCATGGAATGAAATCCCACCTGGAAAGGCAGAAGCGAAGGGGAGCAGAGGTCTGTTTTCTCTGGAGACACCAGCTGCATCTAGCTAGGCCTCTGGCAGGCGAGCTCAGGCTCTCCCCACACCACTCCAAGGCACACTCTAAGTGGACTCCAACCAAGCACATGCATGGTACAGGAAAATGTATCTGGACCCAGTGACTCCCCACTTAGTCTCTCACCAGCCTGCAGGTACCCACCTGTGATGTCAGACGTTAGCCCACAAGGCCATCTCTCCACCTCTAGCTTGACTGTGTACCACCTCCCTAGCCTTTGGCTGCAGGGCTTTGGGTGAGGCCACATCATTGGCTACGTTTTTCTGGCCTTTCCCGGAAAGGACAGACTGGTACACAGTCCCTCAGAACTCAGGCCCCGGTCTCAACCCAGCATGTCAGCGAACATCTGCTCAGGCCTGTGTGTATGGCCCTGTATCTGTGCACGAGGGAGCCTTTAGCGGCCACCTTGCTGGGCTGCGACTCCCTAGCACACATCACCCCAAAGGGGACTGGTCCAGGTAGCCGGGCCAGGCAGACGGATGGCACAGGGCAAGAAAGAAAGGCTCTGGGAGGAGGAGCAGGCCGGGAGCAGGCAACAACGCCCCATCAAGCAGAGGACCCTTCAGGCAAGGGCACAGCTGAAGCATGGGCACAAAGGCAGGACGGGCCACGCCGTGCCATTACCCAGACCTAATCCACGAGTCCAGAGAGCCAAGGAAGGACCAGGCCCCCACGGGCCCCATCATGGCCTCCCCAGCTCCCCCCACCTGAACCTCTCTCCCATCCCTCAGGTCTCCACTGAGACAGTCCTGCCTCAAGGCAGCTGTCCTGACCCAACTCGGTCAATCTCTAGTGACTCACCTCTGTCATTACGATAATGACACACTGCAGAACTAATTTATACCTATCATTTCATCATGTAATTACATTGCTATGACACATTCCCCCAACTCCAGGAAGGCAGGGATGGAGTTGGCCCAGCTCCAGCTGCATCCTCCATCCCGATGTGAGCGTGCAGAGGGTGGGGAGGAAAGCGCCCAGTGGGAAGTTCTGGGTGCGTGATGCCCTCTGAGCTCCCACCTCCTTGGATAACCTAGGTCCTGTCCTCGTACCCCAGGTGAAGGAAAGGCCTCCCAGGAAGAGCTGCTGCTTCTCCCACTGTGTCTTGGACTATCTAAAAATGCCATGTCCACCCCACCCTACCCCCATCCTCTACCATAGCAGACCACATGTCTGTAAGTGCAAAAGCTCCCAGCACACCTCACCTGCTCCCTGGGGTGGTAACCCTGACAGGCCCTAAGGCATTATCTTCCCAAAAGCCTTATAATGACCTAAAACTCAGACGCTAAAACACATAGCCCAAATGAGACTGGCAGGGGAGCACGCTTTGGAAGCTCTGAGTGGTATGCTTCTGGATGGGTGGCTGGGAGTTCTGGAAGGAGGCAGGAGAAGGAGGTATCTGTTGTCAACATTGGGAATCCGAGCTGGACTACAAGGACCCAGAGAATGGGGCCTGAGTCCTGTTTCAAGCAGCCCTGAGCAAGAGGAACCCTTTCCTAGGCGGGCCATCCCAGAGGAAGCACACAACTCCAGACCTCATATAAAAGTTACCACGGGGCCGGGCGCGGTGGCTCACGCCTGTAATCCTAGCACTCTGAGAGGCCGAGGCGGGCGGATTGTTTGAGCTCAGGAGTTCGAGACCAGCCTGGGCAAGAGCGAGACCCCGTCTCTACCAAAAATAGAAAGAAATTAATTGGACAACTAAAAATATATAGAAAAAATTAGCCGGGCATGGTGGCGCATGCCTGTAGTCCCAGCTACTTGGGAGGCTGAGGCAGTAGGATTGCTTGAGCCCAGGAGTGAGGCTGCTGTGAGCTAGGCTAATGCCACGGCACTCTAGCCCAGGCAAAAAGAGTGAGACTCTGTCTAAAAAAAAAAAAAAAAAAAAAATTACCGCGGGAGAGCCTCCCCTGAGCTATTTCCCTTCTAATTACACTAGGCCTTCCTCTCGACCTACATAAGCCAGAGGCTGCACTTCTGGATGTCTCTGGAGAGAGGCTGCTGGTGGTCTGGGCGTACTCTTCAACCTGAAGCTCTTTCAGAAACCGTGACCTGAAACTTCTGCTTTCTGGAAGATGGGGCAGATGTGATTTTCCCTACGTCTCCTGCTAAATACAACTTAAAATCCTGAACATCAACAAAAAAGACAAACATGAGAAGGCTCTTTTTTTTTTTTTATTTTTTAAGCCAGAGTCTCACTCTGTTGCCTGGGCTAGAGTGCCATGGCGTCAGCCTAGCTCACTACAACCTCAAACTCGTGGACTCAAGCGATCCTCTTGCCTCAGCCTCCCGAGTAGCTGGGACTACAAGCATGCGCCACCATGCCCGGCTAATTTTTTCTATATATATTTTTAGTCATCCAGCTAATTTCTTTCTATTTTTTAGTACAGACTGGGTCTCGCTCAGGCTGGTCTCGAACTCCTGAGCTCAAATGATCCACCCGCCTCGGCCTCCTGGGGTGCTAAGACTACAGGCGTGAGCCACCACACCCAGCCAAGAAGACTCTTAAAGATGGAGAGAAGAAGGCAGATGGGCCAGGAACCTCAGGATCTGAGCTTTCTTTTTGTCTCATTATCCCAGACCAAGGTACTAGGAGGAGCTGGCAACTTGGAAACACCAATGAACATGACAAAAAACTCCCAACAGCAGAAAATATGTTGTTTTTGAGTGCACGCAGAACACATACCAAGATATATTATATCTTGGACCATAAAACAAAACC